AAGTGACGGGGACGCTTTATACTTTATATTAAACATTTTAAAATCTTTACTCTTTTTGGAATTCGTACGGTGCCTTGAGGATTCAACGTTCCTTTCAACCCTGTACGGATGTTTCAGAGATGGGACCTCACAACTTAACGTCGATCTCAGACTGGAACGATTCAAGGAGGCGGTTGGCCTAGAAAACTCCTAACTAACAACCCAAATTTTAGGACACCCTGTTGCGAATCAGAAGCTACTGCAATTTCGTTCTGCATCTCAGTTGAGGCAGCAGTTTGACTTTGAGAAAAGAAAGGACATCGACACAAGAACGGTCATAATAATATAGAGCAGTGGAAAAAAAGCAAAACAGGTGGAAACAACAGCGGGAGAGAAAACAAGTAGGTCCTTCCAGTGACGTCCCCCCAACCACCCGCAATGATGCGTCAGCTTATATCTAAAAAAACCCAAGAAAAAACAGAAACAAAATTACAAATCCCCTATCCCAAAATAAGTAAAACAACACCCCAAATACCAAAAAACAAACTGACAAACACAAATAAAACAAACAAACAAACAAACAAACAAACAAACAAACAAACAAACAAACAAACAAACAAATAAACGCACCCCCCCCCCAAATACAACAAAACACAATAAAGTGATGGTGAATTATGTATCATTAGCACAAGCTAATGTGTAAATATTTCCCTACAGAGTATACACAGAAAAACCTCCGCTCAGATCGCCGTGTTGAGAGAAGCTGACTTCACTGCCTTTCTCCTGGCTTACATTGCCTTCTCTATTGCCTACTGCGGGCCCATCGTCTACCTCCCGGATTTCCTCATTCAGTTCACAGGTGGCGTATGATGATGATAATGATGGGAGGGGAACTTTATACTTTATTTGAAACATTTTGAATCTTCTGAACCGTACGTCAATACGGCCAAAATACTGCTGTTATATATTTTAAATTTCGTCTACTATTAAATGCTCTTTGACTTCCATGTAGTTTTTAGTTTCACAAAAGCAATCCATGTATTTTAAAGTCTTTGGTGTACGTCGTCAAGGCAGTCTGCAGTTTTGATATAGTGCTGCCAAGGTACTTGAATTTACACATTTTTGCATGGGTTTCTCCATAAAGAGTGATGGACGTTGCTTCTTATGAGGGTCGTAGTACTTCTGTTTTAGATACATTTATTATAAGGCCAACTTTTCCCTCAGCCTTTGTTACTTCGTTTGCTTTTAATTACATTTCATGTACTGTGGTGTTTAATAGACAGATGTCGTCCATAAAATCTAGATCTCCTATATATGTGTCATTTGTCCATCCAAAGCCTGTTTCAATGTCTTTGCTCTGTCTCATTGCAAAATCGATCAGTTAAAAAAAATACAGGTGATAGTATACAACCTTGTCTAACGCCAGCATTTACTTCAAAAGGTGTTGATAGTTCTCCTTTAACTAGGATACAGCAGCTTGCTTTGGTATAAAATGATCTTATACAGTTTCTCATTTTTGTTGGGATACTATAAATACCAAGGACTTTCAACAATGTCTGTCGGTCTATCATATGCTGTTAAAGGCTTTTTAAAAGTCCACAAAGTTCAAAATAATTGAGACATTCCATTCTTTTCTTTGTTCTACAATATTTCTCAGAACAAAAAGTTGATCTGTACATGATGATCTCTCTGGCCGAAAACCCGCCTGTTCCTCTATTAGTAGCTCATCTATTGCTGTTCTGATACGAGACAGGATAAAAGCACAAAATAATTTTCCAGGCGCTGATAAAAGCGTCATTCATCTCCAATTGCTACAGTCTCTTAAGTCACACTTTTTAGGTAGTTTTATTCCTGTGACGTGCTGGGTTGAGGGTGGTCGCCCCAGCTTTACCTAGATGGTAGCGTCATAATCCGTTGTGTTGGTTGAATGTACTCAAGAAATATTTTATTGAAATTCTTATATTCTAAATGTTGAAAAAGGCAATTAAAAACCCCCATTATTGTACGTATGATATTTGAAAAAAGAACGAAACTGTTCTTTCTCTCTGTCCCCTCTGTCCCCTCTCCGCCCCCCCTCTCTCTC